CACATGTTGTTCATATGTCTAATTTTTTTTGTTTGATATGTTTTGAGGATATACACAAGTTGTTTATATGTCTGACAACTCATGTATCAAAGATAAATTATTTTTTTACCTAAACACCCTTTGATATTTTTTTCACATATGTTAATTGAAAATATTAATTTAATAATTAATTTTTAAATATCATTGAATCTGAACCGTTTAATATTCAAATTAACGGCCAAGATCGGTTAACAAAGTTAACACGATAATCTTGGTTAACATTTGAATCAGCCCCGATATATATATATATTTCAAATTTATATTTTATTCAAAAATAAAAACATTATCGTTTTTCTCAAAACTGCATAAAAACATATTATATCGATAGAAACAATAAATAAAACAAAAATATTAAAATCGAGATGTATCTCTCTGCATTATATTAATTTCGTTAAAATATAACATTACTTTTATCAAAAAGTTCAACATGTACCAACACTCAGATGTACACGTCGGTTGCACATGCTTTTGCAGCCAAATGTTTTAAAAGCTAAAAGGTTCCATTTTAACAAATAACCATTTCTCATATTTAAATTCATCTGTTAATTATTTCTCTTTTAAATTTACTTAAATGTTATTAATTATATAATATCTAGGTTTGTAATATTAGTTAAAAGACAAAAAAAGTTCAAATTTAACACAAATCTCCAATTAGCGACGGTCAGGTCCGCAATTATTACAGTAAACTAGTTGATTTTTTTTTCTTTTTAGCTAATATTCCGATCTAGATACTGCTTAAGTAGTGACATTTGAGTAAATCCGAAAGAGAAATTATTTACTGTTAAGATTCAACACTTTTATTTAACTTATCGAGTAAGATTTTAGTCTATTAAAACACATCATATTCAACATTTTTATCCGGTAAACATTTACCGAGTAAATGTCGTCAGCATCACTTACCAGGTAAAACGCTCGATTTTTTTTTTTTGATTTACATGGATATCCAACCCGCTATGCGAGCCGACTAATCCCAGGGAGACCAGCTGCTTTGCAGATAGCCCGGAGTCACCGCATTTGAACCTCCGTGGCCACAAGAGGATTTTTATTTTTTCTTGGATTTGAACCTGAGACCTCCTGATACTTTTGACCTTTGGAGCCAAGCTCAAACCAATCAGGCACCACCCTTGTGGTTAGAACGCTCGATCTTTGTCATCACTATTAATAGACTAGAAGCGTACTCGCACAATGCAGCAAGATACATCGTGATTTTAATATTTTATTTTATTCTTTATCTCATTCGATGTTATAATATGGCTTTATGTGATTTTAAGAAAGCGATGATGTTTTTATTTCTGAATAAAATATATGTTTGAATATATCATAAAAATTTGACAAAAATATATCGATATTAGTATCAAATTAACTATTTGAAATTCCTCATTTTTTGT